CCTTCCTTTTGATTTGAATCTTGCTGTCATGATCCTGGAGGAGGAGATTGGTTCCCATTGCATGAGAGCTTTTGGTGCTGTTGTGGACATCATGATAGCCACTCCGAAATTCAGTGTGCTCGTAGTTTTTGTCTGGATGATAATATCGGAGTAGATTGTTGACTCTCCGGTTGACAGTTTGGAGAGTCCACTTCCATTCCACCCGCCTTAGCGGATTCTCAGAACTTCAATACTATATCCTCTCATCTCGTTTGCAATCTGGGCAGCCTTGCTAGGTTCAAACATCGTGCGGACATTCCGTGTCCCCATGTTTACTTTTGCTTTCATCTAAAGAAGAGGAGACATATCGGTCGACTGGCTTCCCGAAGGCTTTCACCAACCGTCGTCATTCCGTCACCTTGAGTCCAGCGAGGAATAGGTTTATTTTTAAAAAATATTTTCTTTTTGCTTTGAAGGTTCTGTAGCGGTTAGATTGGTTTTACGGGGTAGGGTTGCTAGCCCTATGCCCAACCTTCCCTCTTTACCCGGGCTTAGGACCGGCTAGTAACTAGTAAACTAGTTAACTAGGCGGGATATATAGGCAAGGTTTGCCTCACCCCATAGTATCCGCTTACTATTTTTGAAATTCGCTGACATTCATTAAAAACCTTTACGCCTATCATGAGAAGATAAATCAAAAGTTATCTCGACTAAGTTATTTGTGGGAGAAAAAAACTGGAATCCGAGTGACAGTAAAAAATTTCTCTGAATATGGTGACTCGTATTTCACTGAAAGCCTTTTCTTTAACCATCTCGACTTAAAGTACACGCTTTTCTCGGTAGCTATTTAGTGTTTTCATCCACATCACTTGTTGTTTGAAGTGAAAGGCGTACTCAAGAAAACATTAAATGAAATTCAGCATCCCATAATGGTTGCTTGTCCATCCTGCTGAAGTTCGGTAGATAAAATATCTATTCATATTTTCGCAGCCGATACCGCCAACAAGATTACCAAAAATCCTTAACGACAGGACTGAGTACATTATAAGCTAGTAATAACAAAGTTATAACCATATTCATTCTGATATCTAAGTGATATTTTTTAATTTGTGTTGAGATAAACAATCGTCCAACAGACACATAGACAAATAAACGAAGAGCCTCGCACAGAAGTAATACGCTTCAAAGTAGCGTACAAATACTTGAATGAAATATGTGGAGATTAACCAAAATGTTAAAGAGTGTATACATCTGCACCGTTGAAGTCGATTTCCAGTTGAATCACCAAGTGTCTGAAACCCTTGACTCCTGTAGTTTTGAGGACCACAGCCAGGTAGTCTGTACAACTAAGAATAACAGTCAAAGACTTCATGAACTAATAGTACATCTTTATCTAGCAACCCTTGGTATGATTTGTAACCTTCACGACTATTACCGGAGATCTTTTTAAAGCTCAGTTATTCATTTTCTTTATTCCTTATTTTCCAGTTTGAAACATTTAAAACATATTTATTTTTCTTTCTAAGAGTAGGCTTTATTCTGCTGTTGAACATAAAAACATGTGTATCAAAATCAATAAGTCCATAAAACTGTAATGTTAGGATTTGTTTTCTTCAGTGACACACAAACACAGTGTAATACTAAACGAAACCAACAACCAACTAGCAGATGACCTCTTCAGTTGTTCAAAAAATGATGAAGATTTGAACGAACATGATTCAACTTGATTGCATGAACTGAATTTCATTCAAAAGTTTCTTCTCAATCAGTTTTATATAGTGGATGAAGTTTACTAATTGTTGATATAGAAATATCGACACATGAGATACTGTATGTTTACACTGCCTGAATAATCTAACTGAAACAGATAAACAAGCGTCATTACACAGTTTCCTTTTAGCCACTTGATCATGTAAAGTGAACTAGATATCTGAATGACTTCACACGGCCTAATTAAATGAGTTAAGAAAAGATGCACATTCCAATCATTAAGCAAACTGGTATTCAGGTGACTGTACTTACTATAAAAAATAGTTAAAACTCTCAAAAAAATAAGTTAAAACTAATGTCACCACTTGAGTAAAGAAAAATTTCAGCTCTATATTAAGTTTTTTATTTGGTAAATTTATCAATGCCTGAATTTCTAGTTTCGTAAAATTCTGCCTCATTTTCTATTGTTATTTTCTTGCAGCAATGGTGGTTTATTAGTATTTGTATTCCTTTCATTGGAGCATTTTTTTTTCGTTCATTCATTTTTTGACATTTTTGTATACTACTGTATTTGTAAAAATCAGCTGATTTAGGCTTAACTGAGTGCTTCAAATACAAGTTCATAATTGTGTATTTCAGTCGTTGAATGCCTTTATGGATGAATATAAATTAGTTTCTTAATAATCCAGTGGATTTCTTCTGTCATTTCAAGGTAGTAGAACTATATAAACCAACTCCAAAACTTCTATGATGAGTTGGATATGATAGTGAGCAATAAGTTGTACTCGGAATGTCATGTAGAAAATAATACTAACTATTGTATCTAATAAGAAATTTAATAAGGAATAACAACCCTTGTGGAATTCTTAATTAACTTGTACTAAATGTCATGAAATCAGCTAGGTAAGATTACATGAGGTATAGAAACTCTACTGTTTGTTCACTGTGAGCTATTAAATTCATTGATTCCTACCGCTTTTATCGTATCTTTAAATTATCCCACTTCTTCTCATTATGTTAAAATGGACTGATATGCTTAGGTATCCCACTATCAGCTGTTAGATCATGAGTTCAAACTGACTTCACCTGTATCCAACCTCATTATTCAGTTGGTACGCTAAGCTCCTAAACATTAGTTACTTTCATCGTATAGCACATAAACTTTTGTATGAAGTCGGATGAGTTGAACTCATTATTCTTATTCATTGCTGATGGACAAGTTACATGAAGCGATCAAATGTTCACTGCCTCAGTTTACCACAACATTGTGTTGTTTCAACAAACGTTTCCACTGATTATACCTGCCTTTTGAATATAGCCCTGTTTAGACAGCAATCTTTACTGAAATGCACTGTGCCAATTCTTCTGATCTAACTATTCATGATTTGATTAAATTGAACTTTAAGCCTGCCATTTTAGATATTTGTATTCTTCTTGATACGTCTTCTGACATAACCGTTTTCTATCAAACACTGTCATACTTTATATGAGTTATACTCTTACATTTCATAATTATGATAATGAATTCACTTGTATAGTTTGTGTTTTTCTTCAGTTTGTTATGTTTAAATTCATGAGATAAATGCCACTAATCTATCATGCTCTATACTTATTCATTATTATTTACTTATTATAATATGAACATAGCTTTCTTAGATACAAACTAGTCAATGGTAACATGGATACGAATTATAGAATAATGAAAATATTGGCAATATAATTGATGACGTGGTAAGGTAGACTGGTGTATCGACGGTCAAAGTAGGTAAAAGCCTGAAAAAGAACATGGAGATTGCATAACACTGGCCAGTTCATCGACTGATAGAAGGCTATCAAAGCTGGTTGTAACGTGAAATAATATATAAATGCATTTAACCCTCCTCAGTGAAAGTTATTCGAAATTTTAAACTTAGGGAAAAATGCATTGAAAATCACACTTATAAAATGTTGACTGGACATTAGGACTCGTTAGCCTCATTGCTTACAAAATTGATTATTCGAATAATTACTTCTTGAGTGGAACCCTTGTGTACTAACTGATTGACTGATGAATATAGCAGTACAAAGGATACCTACTTAATGTTACTCAAGAATGGTGGAAAGATGACATCAGAACCACTGTCCTTCTGTAGTGTCACTTTGCATGCTTTGTCACTTAATGGTTACTCACAGTTTACTTATTATCCATCTTACTAGTCTATGAAATGAAGAAAGATACTTATCCAGTACTGTCAGGCATTGAATCGAGGTCAAAGAGAACAGAAGTAAACTATGTTCTTCTTCTCATGGATCACTAAGGAGAATTAACCAATGAAGCGTTTTTTTTCCATTGTAGCATTTCATTCATGATATCTATGAGTACTTGTTTGAAGGTTAACTGACATGATATTGGTAATTAGGTAAACTAAGAATGTCTGATAGAAACGTGGCTTCTCTAGTTTGGGTATAAAACAGCAATACTTGAAAATTTACAACTAAGCAAACAAAAATTTCATAATATAAAAGAAATGATGTATAAGTTGAAAAACAAATTTAAAGTGAGACATATGCTTGAATATCTCAGAGGTAAAACCGGTGACTGGTATTTCAGAGAGCGATTTTGAACCTCTCAGGTATCATCTGTCTTTGGGACACAGCGGTGGATTTGCATATTTGCCAACTGACAATATAACCCCGTCTAAGCTAACAAGTAGGCTTCCAAAGTTAAAACTAAAAACGTGGATAAATAAAAGGCACACCTAAGGAGGAAATAAATCCTTTTTTAGGTGTATTTACCAGATTCTTCATCAACTTCATCCTGAAATAAAAGACTACTTTGATAGTGAATTCCCTCGTGAACAACGTTTTCGAGCGAACTGACACCCGGTGATATGCCTGCTTTCCCATTTTAGCATGTGTAGAACTGCGATTTCATATGTTATGTATTGTTTCAAAATGGTTACCTTTGCAACTTATGCCAATAGATGCCTAATCATGAACATATTCAAAAGATTGCCGTAACGTTTTAGTATATTAGTCTATCTTGTGCATAAATCTCATACAAGATCTTTAGTTGAGTATCTAACTTTACTCCTAAACATGAAGGCCTGCTTAAAACTTGGTCTACTAAAAAAGTTTTTTGCACTGAATATGTTTCATCAAATTCTTCTGTTTCTGCTTATTTTACTCTTTTAAGTGTCTTCTAAATGTATCATGTACTCTTGCACCTTCCTAAGAACGAAACAAAGCGAAAACGTTACTACAAATGGAAATAGACTAGTAAACGCTCAAAAATACAGCACAGTACTAGGATACCTACATAGAATCACAGATTTTCGTACTTGCTGATATCTACGGCCACCGTAATAACACTCGATTTGTGTTCATCCCCAAGTCCAAACCAGGCGCTAATGTAACACCAGTTACTCATTTCATATTAGTACCTTTGGTACGGTTGTTTCATTAACACTATTCAGATGCAATGATTATTTCTGTTGAAAATATTGCATAGGGAGTGTATATATTGAAATATTTACTGCTGAAAATTCCATGACATATCATACATGTTATTTGGAAGAAAGCGATTATCATTATTGTTATTATAAAGAAGCAATAATCCCATGTGTATGAAACTCTGATGCACTGATGACTACGTTTAACATAACATTTGAATGTCTGTGAACCCAAAGCTCTAACTCAGAGAACAACTTAGTCTGAAAATCCATATCCGGAGTTACAAATCCTCTCTACTATTTCTATGGTATATATTTATCGGAAATCTACTACGGTTTGGGTTATATAATGCACAGTTATGTATGTGAATGCAGTGAATAAATCCATCTCTTTTAATATCTTTGTTATGTATTTCAGATTTGTTTGGAAAAGGAGCGGCTTCTTCACTTGGCTACTAGGTCAAAGTGATGCTATCATCACATGGACAGTTAGTTCAATTGATGGTAGTTGCACTCCAGGTACCTATAGAATACAGCATTTTGGTACATCTAAGAGTATTTTTGGAATAAAGACGCACTTCACTGGTGTGACAAATAATTTTATGGTATTGTGTCAATCAGACTAAGATGATTAACCAGATGAAGGAAATTACTATATACAATAAACTATTTTTCTGTAATCCTTGATTTTATTCTGACATATATACCATATATGCCTTGTTTTAACGGGATTATTATTCTTATGATATGATACCAAGACACCGGTCTTTCATGCATACTACATCTGCATGTAATCTACCTACCTTATGCCATAGCTGCAAAGTAATTTTAAAGAATTGGGAGAAATTATTTTCTAATTTTTTTTCATTTTTTAATCAAATATCATAAACATCTATTCAATTATTAGTTTTAAAACTTGTATTGTTGTTTCCTTCAAGATAATTTTCATTGTTTATCCCTTCTGTATTACTTTTTTCCCAAGGTATACTGACTTTAAGATTTTGTTTTAGTCATCATCGTGTTTATTATAACACATATCTACAGTCAGTATTCATTTCTTATGTGTAAAGATTATATTCAAATTGTGCACTGGTTTTGTTTCTCTATTTGATGATGAAATATGAGAATAAAATATTACTTTTTATAGGTTATTGTTTGGTTTTCTCCTTTTTTTTGTGTGTGTGTTTATTTGCGCTGTTATTATTCACACTCACCATGGTAATAAAAGCATCAATGTATTCAAATGTGAAGTGAACTATTTAACATGTGTCGTTTTTCTTAGAGCTATACTTCGAATTAATTGGTAACAAGCTAATTTTAATCTTCTCAGTTTAATTTCATTGCACAGAGTCATTATATCAAAGTTGAAAGTAGTCAGCGTCAGACAGAAATGTAAGTTGAAAAGCATTCGTTAAATAAAATCAGTTAAATTCAATTATGTAGTTGTTATCAGCCATAGACCACCTGGGATGAACAAATACTGATTTGAGTTTTTTAGTAGAAAACATTAGTGTCCAAGATGTTGACGAATAGAAAGTGTTCTTATCGGTAAAATTAGTGAATACTAGTTTAATACATACGAGTTAGAATGGATGAGAAAAGATTGGGAAAATATCGGTGGGTTGATAGAATCCTATTGAAGTTTATACACAGTCACACGTAGACTGATTGACGTCAAATACTGATAGTTCAGCGAAGAAAGTAATTTTTCGAAGAAGACAGGGACATCAAGCTGATGTCTAGATGATATGATGAATTTAATGGCGATGATATTTCATACATGTAATGATGATGAGTACGCATTTTTTTTGAATATTTCAGTTTGGTTTGAATAGATAACGCTCAAATTAATCGAAACAATGCTGACTTCTTTTTGCTCCCATTTCTAAAGGTTTTCAATTCCTATTGTATACATCTTTTTTTAGTTGAATTAAAGGTCTAAACTTTTTTTAAGTGACCAGTATTTGGGACATCATGACGCATCATTAGCCCTCAGGCTCAATTTTTATAAACACAACGGTTTGCTGTAAAAGGTTGATTCTCCCAACAGGTCAAACGATGACTCATTGTCTAGAAAACCCTAATATATTAGGGTTAATAATATATTATATATAATGTATAAAACTGAGCATTCTTTTCTTCCCTATAAGTTGTTATCCAAACTAAGGTTAATTTGAAATGAAGACGAGTCAGTGTGTCTACTGAAGAAAGTTTGCTAAAAGAACGACTGTACCAGATGAAGTGTAGCATTATGCTTTCAGTGTGACTTTGAAGTGATTATGATACTTAATATTCAGCTATTGGGAAAACTAATTGTTATGACGCTTTTTCTTGTGATCAAGGAACTTTCGATTTGGTTCATGTTCATTTTAAGCGTCAGCATAAATATTCGCCAATGTGATTAGAAACCATGTTCCTGATTTTCTATGGTGAAGCTGTCGACTCGAACTCACGCACCCGTGCGAAAGCATAATGGAGAGTTATTATATGAATTGACAACTAGTGGTGTCCGCCATGGATATCTACTGTCACCGTTCCTATTTAACCTCGTTATAGACGTAGTAATGGACATACATATGACCACAAGGATTGACTTCAAATATTCAGACGATATTGTCCTACTGGGTGAAGACGCTAACGAAACGCAGGGTCTTCTGAACGCCCTGAGTAAATATCTGGATATGTTTGGCCAGTATGCCTTTCGCACCTTTGAAATGTAAGATGATGCTCCGGGACTAGTGCGCTGCAAGTACCCCAGTTTAATGATACGGAGTGAAGTGGTGGAATGTGTCGACCACTTCACTTACTTAGAGAGTTGGATCAGCCCGACCAAACTGACGTCTGACGAAATTTCAGCCCGGATACAGAAGGCGCATTTGGGATTTACCAACTTCCGTCATTCACACTAACTTTCATCTTCAGACTGTTTATTCTGTCATACACTTCTGTCTGCTAACATATCACTCTTTTTCTATCCGTCTTTTCTTTGCATACTACCGTGTAGTGTGACAACTTGAGCCGATGCGGTTGTGTGCGAGGTTCTACGTTGATTTTGTCACGCAGTCAGTCATGGTTAAGATGTAATCATTTTTACAAATTACGGTACAGAAGTCCCACTTCTTTATGAGCACTGTACGGCAATAGAGATAATGGCATATATAAATGAATACAGTTGTACTCGAAATTCCAATTTATCTGTTCATCAATAATAAGATAACTTACCCAAAATAGTCCTTGAATTGAAGTTAAGACAAAAATTAAAACGCTTCAACAATATTTAAATCTCATTATTTAGCTGTAAATTTTTAGTAGTCTTTTGCTTTCTAGAATAATGAGAAAACTTCAAAGACTACACAAGCACAGTCATGAAAGCACACTCAGAGGATGTAAACTTAAAGTTTATGAATAGTCTTAAAGGAACAGACTTCCAGTTCCGTTTTCCTGAAAAATATGTTTAACTATTCTGATATAACTTTATGGACAACCCAGTTGCAAGTACTTTCGTAAGACTAAACGTTTTGTGATGTTTCTACTTCTCTAAATGCGCTTGACACTAAAGTTACTTTGAAAGTTTAATGAACCAGACAAACGGTCCCGATTCCAATCTCCAACATGAGTCATGAGGAGTTTAAATCAACAATTTTGAACTGCTGTCTTCATTAAATGACCTCGAAATCAAATACCAGGAGACTATTGTCTAAAGAACATAAAGCGAGGGTAAATGAATTCTTAAAGAACTAGGAATTGTTGCTGGTTCGTCCCGACATGGACTGGCGCATAGTTTTCATGAATCGCAAAGTTTATGTTGATAAACTGTAGTCTACACTAGCAGATGAAAGTAAATTTTCGAAAGGAGAGTTTCTGAAAGATGCAACGGAATAAACAGAGCAAAAGCTGACAAAACTTTTGAAGAAGATGAATGACGAATCGATCATCAATGCAGAGCTGTTTGAAAGACTGCAACCGTCTGGTTCAGTAATTCCTCGACCCTATGGTCTTCCCAAAATTCATAAGAAAGATGTTCCTCTTCGTCCAATTGTTGATATGAACAATTCACCATATCATGGGATCGCTAAATGGTTAACTGAAATTCCTCAACTAGGGAAGTATCAAATCACTAATTACAGTACTCCTAACTCGTTAACACTTTCATCATCTATGAGGAGGATAGTAACCTTGAGGAAATACTGAAAGAAGCAAGAAGACAGGTAGGAAGAGAAATCTAACTCATTCACTATACTACAAATTAGGATTTTAACGGGTGATATAGTAAATAAGAGGCTGTAAATATTTTGAAGAGTGTTAATCGAGAATGGTTATACTTCAAGATTCAGTGAAAGGGTACATAAAGCCTAATAATTTCAAAGAACAAGCACCTACGGTTCAAAAAAGGATATTGTTTAGGATTTTTTAAATTAAGGGAGATACATGGCAGAGATACTGAAGAATGGACTTTGAAAAGCACTGAATAAGACTTTCTTTTCCGCTCAGTTTCAGATTATTTTCTGCAGTCAACAACTGATTGAGAGTGTGTAAACGATCAACTACTACATTGGGCCAGCTCGGTGTGTTTTGATCGATTCACCTACTCCTGTCGAACTGGCTACATAGGCCGCATAAAGCGTGTTCTATCCAAACGCATCTCTGAACACTATCCTGCGTGGATATATAAAGGACAGTGTAAAGCTGTGAATGGCTTGATTCTTGAGCATTTGGTTATATCTGGTCACTGTGCTCCACGAGAGTCTTTCAAAGTCATTCATAAACTGAATGCAAATATTTCGAAGCGAGTGTATATGCGGCCCCTCAGCACAGCAGAACCTCTGACAATCCAGCATTAAAGACCTGCTCTTTGCATTGAAAAAAGATACATTCAATCTCTAATTTTACCTTCGCTGTAATCTGCTTAAAATATTATTTTCATTTCTTTGTTGACTTACTATAATCCAATAACCAGTTTTTAGTGACCTTGATTTGACCTTAAAGCTGTTATTACCTTGTGACCTTATTCACCGTTTTTGATAACCTTTTATTGACCCATTTGGCATCGGTGGATATATATTTTTTGTTGCAACTATAATTACGATGTGCCGCTTTTGAAAATGATTTGTCGAAGAGAAAATTTTCTTCACTGAATTGTCTTTATTAATATTCTGTGATAAATTTATTAATGGTGAAATTGTAGTAGTCACCAGCGAACAAACTTAAAATTTAGTTGAAACGCAATATTGGGGTGGCTCTAAAGGCTGAAATAGTTAATTAGATTTTTTTTATTTCGACTGTAACGCAGATTTTCATAAAAACAAGAAAAGTCTAATTGGTCATTTCAATTATGGCTAGGATGGTTTCTTTCTTTGAGTCACTTATCTTTCACTTCTCGCTATTGACAAGCCTCCTTATATCAATACCAGAATATTGGAGTGACACTAAAGTTAACCCTAACAACTACTGATGTAACCAACTGAAGTTCTGGATTTTAAGAAAAACTACTTTTCCAGTAGAAATATATAAACTTGATAAGTCATTTCAACCGTTCCTTGGGTGGGGTTTAAAGTCTCTCCAATACTATGTTACAGCTACATATTGATATTATTTGGTAGTATCTACGAGTTAATTCTTGCGAAAAGAAATATAAAGGCATTCATAAAAGAAGTCTGTAACTGTATCGATGATTCAACAATTCTGTTATGTAAATCAACATTAAGAAATATTGAAGTGTATCAATCTATTCTAAGTAATTAAAAGCATGAAATATGGAATAAATAGGTTACATGGATTTGCATTTAAGGCCTAAAGAGTATGTAAGACTACAGATAACATGACAATCAACTTACCGCCAAAATTCGCTCCGCGAATCAAAAAAGACTAAGATTTCGAAAACCTAAGATGTCCTATTCCGTTTAAACAATGTTAACAAATTATCAGAGTCACTTACACATACCTTTGTGTTGGTTGTCTGATCAAACTTAACACTTCGGCACCCGGAATGAGGGATGATATTCATAATTTGTAGTCCTTTGATAACGATCTTCCTAAGAATATAATTGCATTAATGTTGTTGTTGGTGGGAATGATATCAGTCACTAGGAGGCAGGTACATCCAGCTGAGGAGTCCCAAACATGACGAAATGTATGTTCTGGATTCCCCTGCTAGCCAGTACCCATCACTAATAAAATAATTACATTAGCCTGAAATATCCACATTGACGATATGCAAATGATGAATATTTCCCATCTCCATTGAAAATGTTTGGAAAGCAAAATTATCATTTTGACTGTATGAGATAGCCATCATTTGGCAGACTAGTAGTCATTATAGGTGGTGATTGGAGGTGAAGTGAAAATTCGCACTGCGGCCGAATTCGAACCAGCGATCATCGGGTTTCCAGCCCGATGCTCTACCAGCTGAGCTACGATATTTGTTTAGGCTTTGTTTAATCTTACTGTTATCATGGCTTGTTAATGTACGTTTTGTGTCCAACAGGTTTCAGTGACAATTAGTAAATGCTTAAATGATTGTGGTGATATTGTGGAGCAGAGCTGAGTGCTGTAATGGTTACGAAACAGTGGCTGAAGCATACTTTTTCGTAGTGGTGTGGTTTGTAGGAAAAAACAGCTTTGCAAAATGTCTTACCAAGTACTGATGAAAGGCCATAAACCACTCATGCATAGTTTTCATGCAGTAGGAAAATTTATAAAACTTGAATTTTACAATAAGTTAACAGGAATATACACACAGACTCTGCACAGCCGTATTGCTGAATTGAAATTGCATGCATGAACTAATTAGCCAACGGAGCAAACGGTCAAGTGGGAAAATTGTCTACAAGATGCGTTAGCAGTTTTGATCAACTTGTGAAGGTATACCTTGGAGAAGAGGAAAATATCTTCAAATGCGTAGATAAGTTTTGATTACTAAAAAGCATTTTTGAGAGCAGTCTACTCATACTTTTCTTCAACTAAAGGTGACCACAAAATAATTGTTAAATTCTTTCACAACCAACTGAAGAAATACCTATTCTGGAGACTCTGGATTTTGAATTTTAGACATAACGTTTACGATTAAGTATATAAGTGGATCAGTTAAATGAACCAGGCAGTATATTTGTAGAGTCGTAATTCGAATTGTTCGTGTTATACTATCAGTTCGTAACCAGAACATTTAGAGTACATGAATACAATTATTCAGTAACCAGTGATTGATATCTCATACAGATTATTCTGTAACTTTGATACCTAAAGCTTTATAAATACATTTTATGCTTTTGTATAGCCGATTCATATTTCGTAGATTAACTAAGTTTCTAGGGCCTCACCTTTTCAACAATGTACAAATAACGTACTCTTCTTCAATGTACACGCAACATCTTGTGCAATATTGTTTTTCACTTGATACCATAGTGGCAGTTACATTAGTCGTTCTTAAAACACTTTTCTCTTCACATAGGTGTCCAACCATCAGGAGTGCTGATGAAAGTACCTAGTATGCACTCAACTTGCCCTATTCATTATATTTATATATGCTCAGAGTTATATACATATAGTCACCAGAAACGTAAAACCTGTTAAATCTACCCAAAAGGAAGTCCCTTTATGCGACATACTCTTTGGCATTCTAGGCTATACAAAATCTCAAAACATTCATGTAAATTAAGTTGTTATAATGGAGTTGAAATTCAGATTTCGCTTCGATGAATTAGCAGCTTTCAGAATTCATTCCAAATTGTCTAATCACTCTTTGTTTGTTTAAGACAGGCATATCACTTGTCACTAATCCGGAATCCTAGTTTAGAAAAGTTACAGTGATATGATAGCCAAATTAGAAGCGATTTATTTGCATCTTACATGTTGCACATTATTTTCACAAAAGGATGGTATCAAGGCGCCTGGAATACACTGATGCATACAAAAATCCAACTTCTTGTATATTGATTAGTCGAGTTGCGACTAGGAGGGTCATAGCAATGATTCAAAATGGCGTCATCCTGTTAAGTATGCACTTCAGATTTCGCAGTTTTACCAAGTCACCTAGACTTATTTGTGGAAAAGCTCTTCTATACAGATATATTTATGATGAAACAATGTTAGGTTTTTTTTATTCGATATAGTACACAGCGATACAGTATTATTTATTTGATGACGTTTCGACCATAAATTATTCGTAATAATCATATTACTGTGATCACACTACTTTCAACATCCAAATTTTATAGTCCTGTCCCTTCATATTATTCGCTTTTATTGGTAATAAAGTTTTCCATACCTCTGGTATAGGTGTTGCATCATTACTATCTATTACATGTATTGAATGTTGATTCAATTAACAAAGACTCGGTAATCAACCTCTCTCTACACCTAATTATATTGGTGGTTTTATCCCACTCTATTGTGTGGTTATGTGCTAATCCATATAACACAATAACTGAGTGCTCCTCTAGATTATTGATCTTATTAGGGTCTGCCAGTCGATATTCATCTAAACTCCTATGTTCCACTAATCTAACTAACCCCGATCGGCTAGTTTCACCTATGTACTTGATATCTCACAGTCATTACATGGAATTTGATAGATTAGATTATTTTGCTGAATTGGTTCTATCGGATTCTAAAGCCAGCCGAAAAGCTTATCTCTAAGTGAGTTTATGGGTTTAAATGCCACCCTAATTCCAGCCTTGTTGAGGATCCTACATCAAATTTCTCTTGCTTCTTCCCCATATGCTAACACAATAGAGGCTTCCAACTCTTTCCATTCGTGTTCTCGTCATCATTCTTATTCGTATTACTGTTATTAATTTGTTTCTTACGTGTTTCGACGAATTTCTGAATAAGAAATAAAGGATAATTATTGATTGATAAGGCTTCTTTTATGTGCTTAGTCCCTTGCTCAAGTCCTTGAAATGACCAGTGACTTTTTTTAGCTCAATCATTCAGATATTTGACTGAACCCACCTTAACTGACATTAGATGAGATGACCTGAAGTCTAGATACCTGTCAGAATGTGTCAGTTTCCTGTAGACAGAGCATCCAAACCACTGTCTGTCATTCGTTTCACTCTGCAATCCAACATAGGTAATTCTCTTTGTTCATTTTTTCACCACGTAAGTGAATTGGATTGCAACCACTACTGAGTTCATATGTGTATGGAAACTGTCAACATATTCTGATTTCAACACAGTTATTGTGTCACCTACATATCGCCATCAAATCTTAGGTTCAGGATTAAACGTTCATAAAACCATGTTTTCCAAACAATCCACCAAAAAATATCCTCTGCGATTGAGGATATTGGTGATCCGGTTGGTACTATTCCTGTCTGTCTATATATTTTGTCTTGAAACTAGAAGACTAAGGTCAGTCACAACTGTACGCATATCAGGATTTCATCAACCGATATTTTAGTTCTATGAGTAAGTTCTGAGTCACTATTTAGTTGATTTTTGAGCGTCTCTAGTGTCAGATTGATTGGTATTTTAGTATGAAGACTTGTTACATCAAAACTAACCATTTTTTCATCCTCTTCAATATGCTGGTCATTAAGTCTTAGTTTTACCCGTGATTATCTAACAGTCTAGAATTTGAACTGTTCCTAATAGGACATAATATTAATGGTAAGTACTCCGATAGTTCATATAGTGAGATATTTCTGAATTCGTCTGTCGGTCTAATGGGATAATATGGTTTGTGAACCTTAATAGTACCATAAATCTTTCTAGGATTCTCAGTTTTAGGCATTAAATTTAACCATTTAGAATCACCTAGAGATGGCTTCAGTCGGCTTATCAGATAGGCTGTAGATTTATTCATGATCTTGTCATATGGCCGTGTATAGGTATGTTCGTCAATTTTGTTGGAATAATCCAATTTGTCCATAACTACTGTTGAATTTCCTTTGTCAGATTTACCAATTACTACTATGATATTTTTAGTCTCATTGTCTTTTTCAGTCCTAATGCACACTGTGCTCTCACCTGTTCACGAGGTTGGCGCATCCATCCAGCCTAATGCCACTTCTATGGTAGGTATGACTTCTAGTTCTAGATGACCTACTGTCACGTCTAAATTTAGCCGTTTTACAAATACTTTCGTTTCTGCTGAGTTCAATTCGTCAATTGACTTGTGTTAAATAGCAGCTCATTTCCCGAACACTGATCAGCCTTCACATGTTCTTTGTAATAGGTAAACGCCAGTTTTTTGTAAATTTAATGTTCACTTAGCTATCACCCTCCTATCCCAACGTTTCTATCCCTGGTACATAAATACTCCTAGCCAATAGAAGAATATTGTTACCTGTTAAGCAAAAATCATTTTGTTAAACATTTCCAGCATCTGAGATGCATGATAGCAATCAACGAGTAAATGTTTGATTTAAAAGTTTTGTTATTGCTTTTGAAAATCAGCAAGCTACGAAATTAACTTTTCTGGAAGATTTGAAAAGTTATCACCCAGCCTCTCAGTCACAGACGTTACCACTGAATTGTTCGAACTGTATTATCTAAAAGTACCAGTCAGTCACAGGGTGCTAATGAACTTCTATCCATCATTGCTATGAACGACAAGGTCTGTTGCACACTTCATCCAGCCAGCCAACAATAACTCCAGTGAACCACTCAGTAAAATCATTCAGTTTAATGTTTACTACACCTCAAATTAATTCACAACACTTACGACTAAACAAAATGATACTAACATGACACCCACCTTTTTAGCATACTAGTTAAATACGTAATGCAGTTTCACACTTGTGATCTTCGATTTACACATAAGTTGTAAGACAGTGATAAATTTATTCAGGGTGATACACTGCAACAACACAAAAGGGGAAAGGAAATAAACACGACAAAAATGATACACAAAGGTAAATAGATTTGTAACCATCATTAAATCGAATTCATATTCAGTGTAACCGATGATCACTAATTCATCTAACTTTAAACAAATGAAAACAAGATAAATTAGACTCTTCACATGTCTCAGTGATAAAATGAATTGTCTCTGTAACTTATTCTGATCTCTCTAAGGACTTGTATTTTCACTAATCTGTGACGGCATATGCGCTAGACACAATTCAATCATAAGTTAAGAAGTACCTTTTACGTTTCTATACTTACGTAATGACTGTTTTGATATGTTACAATTAAATGGTGGGATGGAGTATAAACATGGACCACAGATAAATAAATAGAGGATCTGGAGATGTCTCACAAAGCGCTGTGAATCAGTAACCGATATTTTATTAGTTATCAACCCATGAATACCAAGTCGATCACAAAAGTTATTTAAGCAGGTTGTGAGTGCATTAGTTCAATTCAATTTATATGACTAAGTAAATGTAAATACATAATAGATGTAAAGAAAATGAGAGGCTGATAAATTTACTTATAGGTGTGAATATATACGCTTGAATCCCTCCTGAAGTTTGGGAGTCATGTTAGAAAAGAAAAATATTGGAGCAGATACTTTAGGAGAAACAGGTAGGTCACTCAGAGAGGGAGACCAATAGCTATTAAAGACTAATATGAACTCCGAAAACCAAAAAAAGCCCTTATTCACTTTAGCCTATGTGAAATATTTTTCCTTTCTTAATTATAAACAATAATTATGGAGTTGCATAAGTATGGAACGGCTGATGCAAACAAAATATCACCTCAGATACAGAAGACCAGTTCAGCATTAGCCAACTTCCGTCATATGTCCCACTGATCAGCGATATATTCGACTACCTATCAAACGAAGAGCATCATCCACTCCTGGATATTTCATAATGCTACATTATTTACTGTCTACGATATGTTGTTATCCACCTTATCCTAGTTATTTCCAGGATTGTGGATACCATAATACCCATTCCTTTGACATCTTTGCCTTCTGACATTGCTAATATGAAAGAAATCAATGTGGATTATTATCTCGGTTAGCGTTTTTTTGATGTAATATATAATATAATAACATGTAATAAAACGTAAAATATACACATAGTGCCTTGATACCTTCAAATGTTGAGCTTGTCAAATAGATTGTGCATACTGGGTGATGATTGGAGGTTAAATGAAAATTTGGACCACAGCCGGATTTGAACCAGCGATCACCGGGTTGCCGGTCCGATGCTCTACTAGCTGAGGTATGAGGTCTGACTGCTGACCAGATTCAATCACCAAAGGTTTTGCCCGACTACCAGGTGAATTTGTGGTGCGTATTCACACTAGTTGCCTAGTCAGGACTTCTCATCCAAATCCAAATGTAACTGAATTAGAGAGGAGAAGCATCAAATTGCTTATCATTTAGAATATCTGAGATAGCCGTAGTTTGCCAGACTGGTATTTAGATTATGGTAAAAACAAGCATATTTCAAAACAAACACTTATAAAATGAACAAAATTGTTTTACGTCAAAAAAGAAACAAGCTATCACATAACATGATCAATATAATAGTAATTACAGTAAGTAGTAACCCTAATAATGTTATCAGTCGATGGAAGTTAATAAAGAGCCAAGTAAATAATACATTGCGACCTGTTTCATTCAATAACTCAGTTATTTAAGATGATGGACTTCTATCTTTAAATCGATAAAAGAAGTGGATAATCATCTTGTTTTTAAAAGTCACGAACAACAACAACAAAAATGTTAGACAAAAGTGAAATCCCGTTAAACGAAAGAAACAAGGAGAGTTAATGTATGCTACTGCGTTGATTTTGAGACGTGTACAATGCTTATCCTTTTTATTTTACTTGATAACACACTAAAAAAAGGAAAACCGTTACAGTATCCTTCAGTGACAAGAGAAGCAGTAGAATAACAAAAACAACAAGGTGTCAATAAGTCACAAGAAGAAGAAGAAGAACAGTAAAGAAAATGAATATCGTATGGATAACATAACAGATATGTGGATATACGTGTTTATTTATTTGCATAAATATACACGCGACAAAGACACCTGGTTATATAACAAATAAATGAATGAACGTTGATAAACGTTGGTTCATTGAAAGTGGAGGCATCACTATTATTATTATTACCTAAGGTAAGAAAATAATGCATGACAAACAGTTGTACTGTAATAATAGGCAGTATACAACACAAACAGGAGGCTTATATGTACCTGTATGCATGTTGAGGGGAGGGTGCAGATCGGGAAGAGTAGTCAAACAAAACAATGAATGATGCATGATATACGAAGAGCAGAAAAATGAGAAATTGGAACGTATTGTTGTATTCTTTACACCAACACTCACCAAGGTAAGGCGAGAAAAAAAAACTTTTTTCACTCATTTAATCACAGTAAAATCATTGGTAGGAGAGTCTAATCTTGATGACAGTGTGGAAATGCATTGTTTGGCATTTTGTAATCCAGACTTTTCAATAGTTCTACCAATCAATGAACCCCAGATTAAGGAGAATAGAATAGCGCCAAGTACAACTTGCAGTAGACTCTTCAGTATTGAAGTTAACCAATACGTTGGATCAATAAATATGATCAGTATAAGCAATAATAATACAACTATACCTGCCCATGATAAATGCAATACACGTCCATGTAGACACTGATTTAATCCACGAGTTAATTGTTTGTCTGCATCCAATAAAAGATCCCTTAATTTATTCACTTCGTCTGTTGATATACTTTGACCTTCTACATGAATTTATTTAAAAGAAAAAATAAAATATTCAATGATGAATACTAATTATAATTGAAGGTAAGTGAGGATTGACAAAAAGACAGGCACAATCAATGTAGAACCTCGCACACAAGTGCATCCACTCAAGTTGCCACACTTTACAATAATAATATTATAAAGAACAGGTGGGTACAAGAGAAGTGATTCGAAAATACACAAAGTTGTACAGCAGAATAAACAATTTGAAGATAACGATTAGAGCAAATACTCAAGATTTAGATGTCAAACAGTGAATACATCTGCACCATTGTCATTAATTTTCAGTCATGTTACAAAGAGACAGTCGTCAACCACTGATTCCTTTCGTCTCGAGACCCCAACCAAGTAGTCTACATTTCACCACATGCCTCAGGCCAAAAGTCCGTCGACTGGTACCAGGTGTTGGTCTTGCTACCCTGAACCCTCTTCCAACCTACTCCAGCTTCCCTTAGCATGACACATCGAGGTAGGTGGTGGATCGGCATGTACAAGCCATATCAGTCGACTAAGGTTCACAACCTCATCAATCGACTTGCTTGTCTTGTCTAGTACCCTCTGCCTGACCTCAACATTTTTCACATGGTGGTTCCTGCACACGCGAGTAATACTACGAAGACATCTGTGGTCAAAACCCTGTGTGATGGCTTCATGTCTCCTGCTTTTAACGGCCATTTTTCACAGTTGTATGAGAAGAGAGAACGGACTGTAGTGGAAGATGCTCGTCACTTGATTGGTAGTCGGATATTTCGCTAGTCGGTGGGACATATGACGGAAGTTGGCAAATGCCGAACTGGTCTTCTGCGTCCGATCTGAGATTTCGTCTCTAGCCATCCTGTTCGGGGTGATGCAACTCCCCAAATAAGTGAAGTGAGTGACGTATTCAACCACTTCATTCCTTGCCATTAAACTAGAACTTGGAGCATACCAGTCCTGGAGGATCATCATCTTACATTCAACAAGTGCCGGCGAGACGTATGCCAAACATACTTAGATTTCTGCTCAACGCATTCACAGGAGACTACATTTTGTCAGCGTCTACACCTAGCAAAACAATATCGTTTGAATACTCCGAGTCAACCAGGTGACCTTTAGGGAGTAAGTTAACCCAAGCCTAATCCAACTTCTGTTAGCACTTCACGTAGAGGTAGGAGCCACACATCTCCAAGCTACTTCAGTCGTTGAAGGTTCACAATCTCATCAATCGACTTTCCCTCGCCTAACCACTACACTGCTCACATAGTGATTCCATAGTATGCGAGGAATGCTACGAATATACCTGTGGTCAATTGCCTGTAGTGTCTTCATATCTTCTACTTTCAACGGTCATGTCTTACAATGGTATAACAAGACAACTGCAGGGTTCAGTATTTGGGGACTAAACAACATGTAATAGTGTCCAGACAGTATATTTTCTGGTTATACACCCAATACAAGCCAACGCCTTCGTAGGTATATCCGGCATTCTTGTCTAAATGCGTTTCTTAATGTTCATATAGCTTACCGAGCGTAACCACATGTTTCGAATACACAAATAATCTAATATTCTTAGTCTTTTCATTTTAACTCCCTTCTATAACTTTATCTCAGACGTGAATAGTTCAGAACGGACCATTGGTAAATTGCATTATTATTTGTCGGTAAACTGTATACTCCTTCCCAAAAGAATTCCTCACGTTCGATTAGCGAATATCAACCAAACCTTCTATATTCCTACAAAGATTATCCTATAACAATTAATGCAAATAAAAATATAATTTAAAAAGCCATATTTATTTCATAAAGCCAAATCAAGGAGATAAACAAACAAGTCAGCGTAGAACCTGATACAAGAGTGCATCCGTCTAAGTTGCCGTGCTTCACACCAGCATACAAAGAATAAGCGGATAGAAAACGAACGATATAAAGTACGCAAAAGTGTATGATACGATGCAGAAGGCTCAGATACAGGTAATTGGAAGTAAAAGATGACCACTGTGACCGATTTTCAGATGTATCACAAAAAGTCCCCCAACCATTGATTTCTTTCGTCTCAATGACTTCAGTTAGACAGCCTATACGGCTTAGACTTCGTGCATTGATGCCACGTATTGATTCGTTCAATCTTAGCTTTTTTTCAACCTGGTTCTACTTCGACTACTGTCGCATGTCAACGTAGGGAGTATCACAGTACGCGTAACACATGTGCAATAAGCATTTCACTAAACCCCGTTTGTACCATATTGGACAGAAGCCGTGAAAATTTAGATCCTACCGCCTAAAAGTAAGTTCCTAGAAAACTGGTCTTCTTATCCATATCAATCTGTCTTTCCAGTTGACAGTATATCCAGAAAATGTAGGTATTTGTTTAGATTTATTCATGAACAAAATGTATGAAGTTAGTGAACACTTGATTAAAGGATCATTTACTGTTATAAGTAAGACTGCAAGAAAATAAATAAACAGACTTACCTGGCTTACTTGGATTGCATAATCTTGTAATTGTGAAACTTGCAGCTACACCCTCATGATCAGAGTAATGTAAACCATGCGGATCATCAGGTACCTTACGCATATCCAGCCAACATGAATCACAAACAAGCTTAGCATAAGCTAGACACAGTAATAAAATGAAAGTCAAACAGTTTACCTTTCTTTTCATATTTACAACTAGTGTAGAATAGTGACATTCGAAACAAACTTGCAGATATTGGTGAATAGCTGGCCAATCACTATCTCTCTTTACGGTTAAACAGATTACACCAGATATATAAAGCTTGTAAAATTACTTCAGTTGAATGTACAACCGCTAATCACAAGTGAATATGGTGCTTGAACAAGAAATTCAATGATATCGGCAAAAGTATGAAATCTGTAGGTAAGCTAATCGAAATCTATAATGCTTTACTGTTTGGTACTTTCAGCATAAACAGTACTACTTATTATAAATTGTTATATGAAGACGTTAGAATTAAATAACTAACAAGGATTGAGTTGCATAAAGTGAAAATGCAAGTTGTCACATGATAATTATGTCAAATTATTGAATTAAAGAAATACTTTTAGATTTCAGGTTGGTATTCACCATGGACTGACATCAGTTAGAGTAACACTGGAAAGCTGCACTGCACAGCCGTTTTGTAATAGTATAGTGAGCACTTAAGACTCTGCTATGCATCGAACCAGGTTCCATGGCCAGCACGTTACCATTGAGCCACTGCGTTGGAATTCAGTGATTCATATTTCCTACTTCTGTCAGTTCACGATATAGCACGACCTCCATCCAGTGCAGTCGTTGAGTACCTGTCCTCGTGTTCGACTTGGTTTGTTCCACTGGTCACGACTTCTTATTGGAACTTCGGGAATCACCTCGAATATTTCTCCAAATGATATCAGTCCATGATGAATACCAACCTAGAATCAATAAAATCCTCACAAGTCTTCAAAATAAATAGTCTTAGAATTTTGAAGTTTGCTTTTATCAGGACAAAACAGTATGATGATGTGGCTGGATAGTAAGTTTTCCCTTCTCCATATAAGTGACTATTAAGTAGTTCTCAAACGGTAAATTACTTTATTATCAACTAAAATGTCACCATACATTAAACCAACATTTGATATACTATGAAATGTTGTGCAACTATCAGATAGTATACAGGCTTGATAAGTAGGTCAATAACTATGATCATCATTACGTTGAAACAATTTAGTCATCTTACAACGCTAAATGTGTACACAGGTATTAGAGAGGAGTCAAGTTATAAAATATGAAGTTGATTATTTCACAATAGGTCAAGATTATATCAACATTATTTTCAACCAAAGAATCTTTACGACTTAACATCATATACGTTGTTGAACAACACGGAAATTTGTACAAGGTATCCAAAAAATCAACAAGTGAGAAGTTTCAACGCAAAATATAGCCGAATTTGAGATAATACGGAGAAAAAAAGCAATGCACTAATCAGATTCAAGTTGACTAGCAGTATAAAGTCATGAGAAAAACCAATCATTCTAGCGCCATCTGATCATGTTATTAAAACTATAGGCAATAGGTAACTCATGAGTGTAGTACACTATTATTTAAGGCATTCGTTATTACTACAGTTACAACAAAATATATTGCATTTATATTCGTGATAATTTCACTTTATATCGTCAAAATGTTTATTTTACAATGTCGATATCGGCTTTACAAAACAATTGAATGCAGCTAAGTATTTCACTTCAATCTTTAATTTTTTTTCAGTAAAAAAAAAATAGCTCAAAAATAAAACAATGAATATAGCACTAACAGGTGTTTTCTAAATTCTACTGATGTTTTGAATTAACATTATTTAATCTTATTTAGATATTTATATGAGGAAAATTTTATAATTCAAACTAATAACCAAGTTTATTAAATGATGCATATAAGTATAATGAAATTATTAACATAACAATGCCATGTGACACTTGAATAAGTTCTGTTCTCAATGTTCATGTGAAATATTGAAAACTATTTTATATTTTCAAAAGATTTCAATACAATAAAAAGACATTTTTTTAAATTTCTATAAAAACAAAATTTGATTGAGTTACACATAAATCTATTGTCACACTGAGCATAATAATAGGGTGTAAGCTTCGAAACGAATATATATATATATATATATATATATATATATATATATATATATACAACATTTCACTGAGAAATTCTCCAGACAAAAAAATACTGGTTTTTTTTTGCAACTTATCAAGGTTTTATGAGAAATAAACACATTGACTTCAGTGATTCTAATCATGCATTAACTAGTGGGTCTTTTTAAATACACGAAGATCAAGCTTTAAACGTTTCACTGAAGTAGCCTTTTTGCACTGAAGTATAAAGTATTTTTAATGTCAAGATTGTGTCCCCTGATAAGTAATTGAGTTGATAATGATGCTCTTCGCCCCTCTCACACCTAGGTGTGTCTATCCTCCCAAAGTACACATTTTGAGAAGTACAAGTAAAATGGTAAATGTAATTTGAAGTAGTAGGAGATGGGTATACCAAAGATTTTACAGTATTTTGTTGAAGCAGTATCACCTGAGAGATTTCCTATGGAATCCTGTTGAGTCTAAACAGTCGAACTAACACACCATGTATATGAGAATATTATTTCGCAACATATTCGGTATGAACTATCTAGTACAGCACAGATATGTAGGTGATTGTAAACGTATATGAGACATAGTTTATAATAAAGCTGCAGGTGACCATCTTACTAAGTAATAGAATATTATCAAAATTCTCACAAAAGACATTTGTGTGTCACACCCACCTAACCACAAATATACACAGAAACATGAAGTTTTCTTGCCTTATGCAGTTTATTACGAAGTATAATTGTCTCATACATTACTGACATGATACGATGTTAACACGGATTACCAACACGATTTCCAACATCAAGTGGCTTTGTAATTTCACAAGTAGACAGGTGATGAATTCTCCCTCTGATAAAAGCGCTTTATCAGAATCACTGAGATTCATATTTCATACAGAAGTTGATCATTCAATGTTTCAAACGTTTTTGTCTTGTAAATATATCTGAAAATTTTATTTTTTAAACTCGATAAAACTGACTACCAGTAGATAGTTTATTTAGCAACCTTTCGTAACAGTAAAGAAAGATTTGAATGACTCATAGTACTTCCTTTGCGGATAGTTTTCAACGATTTCGTTTTATATACGACAGATGAAGCTTTCTCATCACCATCATTGAATGAAATGAAACGTTACTTTAAACTCCTAATTGATGATGACTATTCACCTGAAAAATTCTATTAAAAATCTACATTCTAGTAGCTACTGACAAAACAATATTCTGTATAGGTTATTCTTTTTGTACCATCCAGTTATTTTTGGATCGCAGCTCATAACCAGCTCAAGTTTTCTGTTTTATGGGAATCTAGGACTTTCATCATTATTTGTTATGTTCACTGTTCTTAATATGAGTGGAACATTTTCATTATTAATAGTTATAATCATACATGAGATAAGTCAGTGATAAATTGAATTCATTTTAGTGCAGTTAAAATACAATCCAAATCCGAGGACACTACCTAATGGGAAAGCGAAGATCTTTGAATCAGCAGACTTGAAAAATAGTACAATTTTATAGAAAATTCACTTATCCATTCACTGCTCTTTGAATAAGTGTCATCCATTTCTGATTTATTAACATTTATTGGTACTTTTGACTTCCCGTTGTTTTACCGAATCGCACCGATCAATTTCCATTGGGCGAAACACGCATACGATGAACAAAAGGTCGCTCTCGCGCTGCAGTAGCCTAGTGCATAACGCTATTGAGATTGAAGTGATGGATGTTGAGTTTGAGTTTCTGTGCGAACGCCACCACTCAGTGGGTTGTGGGTGCATCCAGATGACGAGTTGTAAATAGAACGAAAAGTGCATCCTGGATTCTACCTACCATAAATTAAGCTACTTCTAATGTATGCAGTACTCACCTTTTCACTGACTTACTTCTTTATTCTACGAAAAGTCACATATTTTAACTGTGATAAAAAAACAGTTGAAATGGTTGACATCCTTTTCCGTCAATGAGAAAGGAATTAAAGTAACAATCGAGATAGGTTATTTTCAAAATTGGCCATTCTTGTTACCAATGAATTTCTCATTCTAATCTATCATTGTTACCACTGCGTATAATATTTTTCTTAAATTAGTATCTGTTTGATTTTTGATAAGCGACCAAACGTTTGCCGACCTTATTCTAATTAGAGCGATAAGAACTGTGCCACTTACTATTACTATCAAACCTCGTTTATTAATACTTTGGTACTTTGTATAACTTTAATGGATCTGAACACAACGCTGAGAATACGAATAACTTCAGTGAACTCTATAACTCCTGGCTACTAGAACGAGTGGAAGACAGGGAAACAACTGAAAGCCATGCTTTAAATATGGTCTATGGTCTACTGAGAGTTAAGTCAGTTATATGAGCGGAAGTCACCTAAAACCTCCTCGTACTACCCGTGGGAAACGATTAGATAGTGGACAGAAATGACTCTTGAGGTTATAGTTAATGAAAGTAAGCACAAAAAATTAGCCGGTTCCTTTTAGATAAATAAATCCCTGTCTATCTGTATTGTAACTCTGCATCAGTTGAATCTGTTCAATTTTTTGTTGAACCAATGAAATTGCGTTACATTTAGATATCTGGTTTAATTTCCTCAGTGTAACCGAAAAAGTTTAAGCAAGCTTAGATTGTATCAGTTAGTCAGATATTACCACTTGAGCATGAGGAACTACGAGGGCAACGAAATGCCCTCAGCAACCTTTCGCACCTCCGTGCAGTAGGGAATGAGTCACACCTACTGTATGAGGGCTAAAAACGCTACCTGGCTTCCTAAACCTTGGTAAGTGGAGTGGTGTCCAAATGCATGACCCACTACTTAAGAGTCATCTCTCAGTAGTAGTATGAAATTAAGAGACTTTCGAATAAGAATATAAAGATGTAGCGTTACGGTATCCTCGGAAAATTTCTAGGAATATCGATCGACTGTAAATCCAAATTCCAAATAATTGGCTGTGGTAAATGCAACTTTGTCAAACA